TAAAAAATAAAAAATAAAAACCCATTAGGTATTAAAATAAGTATCAGTTGTGCATTGTGATTGTTGTGGCATAAGATTAACATTTTGCTAAATCAGCTGATCAAAAGTATACTCCTTGCTTGTGGGTGTTTCAGAGGAACCGTATGATATTGCAGTCATATGAGAGAGGGCCCGAAAGACTCCAAAAGAGTACTTCTCTCCCACTGTGGCATTCTGACAAATTACACAACACAAAGTGTTGACATTAATACTTTATTTTTATACATTAAAACCATAAATTACACACTCTCTGTAATACACTCTCAGAAAAAAAAGGTACAAAAGTTGTCAACAGGGTGCTAACGTTTGAAAAGGTATACTTTTGTATTTTACTTACCCCTAAAGCGTGCATATTGGTACCTTAAAGATACATATTAGTTCCTAAAGTGTACATATTAGTACCTATTTAGTAGATATTAGTAAATTTTGAAAGGGTACCACACCAGTGACTGCTTTTGTACCTTTTATTCTGATTCTAATCTGGTTAATCGCAGAGCAAACTGGCTCAGTTAATAATAATAGCAGTGAAAACGACCTCAGAGGACTTCAGTATTATTATTGCTGTAATATTGTTACAGTGTTCATAGAATAATATACAAGATGTCGGACTAGATCATATCTAGATAGATTAAAGATATATTAAAATATTCATGATTGTATAAAATATTATTAATTTCCATGATATTTCCAGCCAGGCCTTGCAAGTACAGTTTCCAAATTCAGTGATATTTCCATAAATGTGGGATTGCTGTTTATGTGAATATGCTGCTCAGACACTTACCATTAGATTCTCTCTTCTAACCCAGCAGTCTGAGGGAAACTCCTCAAGCATAGGCACAAAATACTGAATACAGCCATTCCAGTGGCACAGCAGGAAAATCATCATAAATAATGACAAGATTCTTAGGAACACCCTCACCACCTCCAAGTTGGCATTTGAAACCTATATGAGCAGAGATTCAATTAAAAAAATCAAAAGCATTATTCAAAGAAATAAAAACATTTTCTGAATGATGACTTATAAAACATGCTATTCAGTGTTGTCTCATGAAGATAAGGTCAGTTTCACATGTTCAAGCAATTAATTACTTACTCTCTCCACTTCATTGAAAAACCTAACAAGCCTTGACACACGCAGCAGGCGGACAAGACTGAGGATTCTCACAAACATCAAGATGCGCATCATTTTGCTGGCTTTGGATGAGGGAGAGTCACTGTGGTATTGTAGGTCCTGTCATGACAAGGGCACAAAACACATATTTTCCATTTGGAGCTATGCAATTTCAATACAGCCAAAAGATTTTTGCAGAAAAAGGCACATTACCGCAATAAGTAGTATGTAACCAACTGGGAATGCTGCCACCACATCAGGTATAAACCAGCCTTTTAAATATTGTTGTCGAATGCTTTTCAAATCCAGAATGGCTCCCTGTTTAACATACAGAAAGATTATTGGAGAAGTTTAAGCAATTTGATATTTGTAATGTCTAGGGCTAATCCTTACCTCACTGTCCTCATTAATGATCCCCATGCGAAAGTTAAGCCCCACGTCAATCAGGAACAGAGTGTCCGAGAACACGTTAAAACCCTCCCAACC